AGGATGTCCACTCTCACCACTTTTATTCAACATACTACTGGAAGTCCTAGCCACAGCAATCAGACAAGAAATAAAAGGCATCCAAATTGGTAAGAAAGAAGTAAAAATTTTTACTACTTGCAGATGACATGATATTACATATAGAAAACCCTAAAGACTCCACAAAAATACTACTAGAACTAATAAATGAATTCAGTAAAGTCACAGGATATAAAATATACAGAAATCTGTTGCATTTCTATACACTAATAATTTCTCTTTCTGCTACTTCATTAAGGAAACAATCCTGGAGCATCTCAGTGGCTCAGATGGTTAAGGGTCTGCCTTCAGCTCAGGTCATGATCTCCAAGTCCTGGGATCACATCCCATGTTGGGCTCCCAGCTCAGAGGGGAGTCTCCTTCTCCCTCTGCCTCTGCTTCTCCCCCTCCTTGTGCTCTCTCTCTCAAATGAATAAATAAAATCCTTAGAAGGAAGGAAGGAAGGAAACAATCCCATTTACAACTGCACCAAAAAAACAAAAACAAAAAATCTAGGAATAAACTTAACCAAGGAGGTAAAAGACCTGTACCCTGAAAACTATAAAACATCAGTGAAAAAAACAGAAGATGACACAAACAGATGGAAAGATATCCCATGCTCATGGGTTGGGAGAACCAATATTATTAAAATGTCCACACTACTAAACCCAAAGCAATCTACAGATTTAGTGTAATCCCTATCAAAATACCAACAGCACTTTTCACAGAACTAGAACAAATAATCCTAAAATTTGTATGGAACCACAAAAGACCCCAAATAACCAAAGCAACCTGAAAAAGAAAAAAAACTGGAAGTATCACAATCCCAGATTTCAAGATATAACACAAAGCTATAGTAATCTAAACAGTATGGTACTGGCACAAAAACAAAACAAAAAAACACATAGATCAATGGAGGAGAATAGAGAGCCCAGAAATAAACCCATGCTTTTATGGTCAATTAACCTACAACAAAGGAGGCAAGAATATACAATGGGAGAAAAATGGTCTCTTCAACAAATGGTGCTGGGAAAACAAGACAGCTATATGCAAAAGAATGAAACTGGACACCTTTCTTACACCATACACACAAATAAACTGAAAATGGATTAAGGACTTAAATATGAGACCTGAAACCATAAAATTTCCTGAAGAAAATAGGCAGTAATCTCTTTGACATCAGCCATAGAAACATTTCTCTAGATATACTGTGGCAAGGGAAACAAAAAGAAAATTAAAACTATTGGGACCACACAAAAATAAAAAGTTTTGCACAGCAAAGGAAACCATCAACAAAACAAAAAACAACCTACTGAATGGAGGAAGATATTGGCATATTTTATATCCAATAGGAGACTAATATAAAAAATAAAGAACTTAAAAAGGCGCCTGGGTGGCTCAGTTGGTCAAGCATCCAACTCTTGATTTCAGCTCAGGTCATGATCACAGGGTCATGAGATGGAGCCCTGCCTCAGGCTCCACACTTAGCACAGAGTCTTCTTCAGATTCTCTCTCCCTCCCCATCTCCCTGCTCACATGTGTGCACTCTCACTCTCTAAAAATAAATAAAATCTTTAAAAATAAAAAAAAAGAAAGAACTTACACAATTCGACATAAAAAAAAAAACAAAAAACAAAAAACAACTAGAAATGAACAGATCGGGGTGCCTGGATGGCTCAGTTGGTTAAGCATTCAACTCTTGATCTCAGCTCAGATCTTGATCTCAGGGTCATGAGTTCAGGCTCTGCACTGGGCTCCATGCTAGGCATTGAGCCTACTTTAAAAAAAAAAAAAAAAAAAGAACAAAGGACAAGAAAAGACATTTTTCCAAAAAATATATACAGATGGCCAACAGACATCTGTATATAGAAAAGGTGCTCAACATCACTAATCATCAGAGAAATGCACATCAAAACCACTATGTCACCTCACACCTGTCAGAATGGCTAAAATCAAAAACAAGAAATACCAAGTGTTGGCTAGGATGTAGAGAAAAAGGAACCCTCATGCACTGTTGGTGGGAATGCAAGCTGGTGCGGCCACTATGGAAAACAGTATGGAAGTGCCTCAAAAAATTAAAAATAGAATTACCATGTGATCCAGTAAATTCCGCTATTGGGTATTTACCCAAAGAAAATGAAAACACTATTTCAAAGAGATATGTGCACCCCTATGTTTATTGCAGCATTATTTATAGAAGCCAAACTATGGACCCAACCCAAGTGTCCATCCATACATGAATGGATAAAGAAGATGTGGTATATTATAAACGATGGAATATTACTCAGCTCTAAAAAGAATGAAATTCTGCCGTTTGCAACAACATGGATGAATCTAGAGGATATAATGCTAAGCGAAATAAGTCAGAGAAAGGCAAAATACTGTATGATTTCACTCATATGTGGAATTAAAAAATAAAACAAAGAAAAAAAGAGATTAAAAAAACAGACAAATACAGAGAGCAAACTGGTGGTTGCCAGAGGGGAGGTGGGGAGGCAGGAAATGGGTGAAATAGGTGAAGGGGATTAAAGAGTCCACTGATGATGAGCACGGAGTAACGGATAACAGTGCTGTATCATTATATTGTACACCTGAAATAATACAACACTGTGTGTTAACTATATTTGAATTAAAATAAAATAGGCATCATAATGCCAATAACACAAGCTTCCTGTGAGATCATGTGAAAGTACATGTAAGCTAGAAAGCATTCACAGTAATAGGGAATTATTAGATAACCCATATGAGGCCTTTCAGCTCTACAGTTACAGCGCAAAAAAATCTATGCCCCATAATTATTTCTGGGCTAGGAACCATCACGTACAAATAAGGTAACACATAACATTCAGATATTTACTGAAGGCATTGATTTTAGAATACTAATTTCATAACATCTTTTTAAGGATTCTGGTACAATGTGCCATTAGGATAGATCAAAACGTAAGGAAATGAGTTGTTTGCTTCTCCCTTGTGCTCAATCACAGAGGATACTCTCATTAAGGAGAAAGAGCCGCATTCCACACAAGAGAACTGCCAATAGCAGGGTCAAGGCAACACACAACTGGAGTTCCCAGGTGGTAAGAAGGTTTTTTTAAAAACAGGTCTTTCTATACTGGTTGAACAGAGTCATATTTGCCTATTAATATCCCAAATCAACTAATAAACACAGTATCTAATAATTACACAGGATATAATACAAAGGAGAAGCATGAATAGCAATCCCCAAATAATTCTTGTTCTAAAGATACTACAACTACACTAGTCCAAGTGAAATAAACACCGAATACAAACCACAAGCGTCTATGGATCCTGCAGCCCAGCAAACCGGAGAATCCCAGCACTGCGGACACTTCCAGAACTTTGCACATGCTGCTGCCAGCCTGGAAACATCCGGTGTTCCTCCTTTTGCATGAGGAACTCTTACTTCCAAATCAAGTATCCCCTCCAGAATGAAAGGCTCCCTCTTCTGCACCTCAATGGTACTTCATATGATGTTATAGAAGGGGTTATAAAATGTGTAATATTGTGTTGTTTCACAACCACTTCTACAACCGTCTCCCCCACTACACAGAGGGCTCCTTGAGGAAATACAACGCATTTTATTCACCTATTTATTCTCAGCTCTAACATTATGCCTGGGCTCAAATGGAGTGTTTGCTCATTGACAGAAAAAAAAAAAATGAATAAACACTGAAATGACATTTGTTTTATTACAGTCAACAAAATAAATTTTTTTTTAAAAAGTGAGCCCTTTAAAATTTGTTAAAGATAGTAACTTAGGAGTAGATTCTACTCCTGAAACCAACATTGCAGTGTATATTAACTAACTAGAAGTTAAATTAAAAATATGAAAAAAAAAAAAGATAGTAATTTAAATAGTATTAAGGAGAATGGGGAAAGGACACAGGGAGGAAAAGCAAAGTAACGCTCTGGCTCTCCTGCACTAAAATGTTAATAGACCAACAGAGACAACATAGTAAATTAGAAAGAACCAAGTGCAAGGCAGAGGCCAAGTCACTTGATCTTCCATACGTTTCTTCGTCTGCAAAATGAAAACAAACTCCATGAACTGACTGAAGAGAATGCTAACTGGAAAAGAGCACAAACATACGGGGATTCAACATGAAAGTGACCTTCCAGACATAAACAGTAGTGGTACTGCTTGCTTCTACAGACAAAATGCCAAACCAATCCAGAATACATGATTTAGCTGAAGTCAATGGCATAGAAAGAACTAGAACTCAAAATTTTAAATATATTAAATACAAATGCAACAGAACGCTCATCTTATTTCTTACGATTTCTGTATTTTCTTATAATTTCCTTTGGGTTAGTAAAGAAATTGGAGAAACAGAAAAATGAGGTTGTTCGATTCTCCCCAAAACAGGAAGGGTATGATCCGAGGCCTCCATGTGGGCCCAGACATTTGTGAAAGCAAGACAGAGAGAGAGTGAATAGAACCACCTCCCCCAGAGGCAGCTCCTGAGCGTCTCACTCATATCAGGATGAAGCTGACAAACATCCTTGCCCTGAATCCACACATCTCTTACTGAGGAAAGCAGTATAACAATGGTACTTGAAGCTCAGAATCAACGTGGCTTGTTTCTTCTGGGAGCTTCAATAACCTCAGATTTTTTTTTTTTTTTTAATTAAAACAAACTGAAAAGGATGTATTGTAGACAAGGATACAAAACTCACAAGATAAAAAACTTCAGATCATATAATGATTCCAGGAGATTTCTTTGGCTTACATTCCCAGACTCATTCTTTACTTTAAGTTTCTTTATTGAGATAATGATATATAGTAAAACAAATTTCAGTGAATAGTTCTATGAATTTTTACTTATGTATACGCCCACATAGTGTGCAATTAAGAGCACATCCAGATGAAGATCTATAACATTCAAGGTTCATTCAATTGTCCTTTAAAGGTACTCAGGGTGAAAATATCTGAGAAGCACAAGGTTAAGCTTATGAGTTACCTGTTGTTGTCCCGGGCGACTATAAAACTTGACACTTAACATCCTTAATAATCCCAATGTCTTTGGTACCTACAAAATAAATGCACATCATACAAAGAAAAATTAATGGAATGCTTTCTCGCTGTAAAAATTCTTTTGTCATGAAATGCAAATTACAGCAAACCTAGTATTTTAAGAAATAGTTGAGAAAATAGGGGTGCCTGGGTGGCTCAGTCAGTTAAATGTCTGCCTTCAGCTCAGGTCATGATCTCAGGGTCCCGAGATCAAGCCCTGTGTTGGGCTCCCTGCTAGGCAGAGAGTCTGCTTCTCCCTCTCCCTCTGCCCCTCCTCCCTGCTCCTGCACTGGCTCACTCTCTTTCTCTCTCTCTGACAAGTAAATAAAATCTTAAAAAAAAAAAAAAAAAAAGAAATAGTTGAGAAAATCAATAGGTGTCCAAGATCTTGGTGAGACTCTATTTTTATTTGGGAAAAAAAATCCAAGTGGTAAATATGTCAACATACACCCATACTCAAATGTTTTGTTTTTTAAATACACACATAACAAATCTACTACAATCTATGCAAATTAGAAGCCACTCAAGCTCTTTTCAAATGAGGTTCTCCGGGTTATCATTTTTATCCTATCATTGTTATGGAAAAGTCAAAATTTCCAGTAGAAATTTCATTCATTAAGGAATTGATCCTATACTTGAAAAAATACCAAAAAAAAAAAAAAAAATCAACATTTAGAAACCAGTATTTGAAATAATATAACACAAGACTATTTATCTTTAGATTTAAGAGATACATTTATAAAAGCAAGAGAGGAGAAAGGAATACTTTAACAAACAGAAAACAACTAGTTTTGTTGAAGATGAAGAGAATTTAGTACACTACTGAGGGGATGTAAAATGGTACAGCTGCTGGGGAAAAGTATGATTATTCCTCAAAAAGCTAAACATGAAATTACCATTTGACCCAGCCATTCCATCCTCAGTACATACCCAAAAACAGGTATTCAAACAAATACTTGTACCAAACAAATATTCATAGCAATACTATTAAGTGGAAACAACTCAAATGACCACTAAAGAAAGAACAAAATGTAGTATATTCACACAACGGAATACAGTGCAGCCATAAAAGGGAATGAAGCACTGATGCATGCTACAACTTGGATGAACCTCCAAAATATTATGCTAAATGAAAGAAACCAGATACAAAAGGCCACATATTGTATGATTCCATTTATATGAAACAGAATAGGTAAATCCATAGAAACAGAACAGACTAGTGGCTACCAAGAGCTGGAGGGAGGAAGAACAGGGAGTGACAACCTAATTAATAGGTATGAGGTTTCCTTTTGGGGTGATGAAAATATCCTAGAACTAGACCCTGGTGATGGTTGGTTGCATAACACTGTGAATGTACTCAATGCGAGTGAACTGTATACTTTAAGATGGTCAATGGTTGATTTTATACTATATGAATTTTTCCTTAAGAGAAAAAGGAGTACTGTTTTGTCGAGGTTAAAAATTTTCCTACCAGAACCTCTGAGTAGCTAAAGCCATTAGTGATGACCTAGCTCCATATTTCCCAATATTTCCTCCAAAAAAAAAAAAAAACAAGGGAAAATATGAAGTGCCTGGCTGGCTCAGTTAGTAGAGCATGCAATTCTTGGTCCAGGGTCATGAGTTCAAGCCCCAGGTTGGGTGCAGAGATTACAGGACAGACAGACAGAAAGACAGAAAAAGATAAATCTATGTGAAAACCATGCCCTCAGGCATGCCTCGGTGGCTCAGTCATTTGGGCGTCTGCATTTGGCTCAGGTCATGATCTCAGGGTCCTGGAATCGAGCCCCAACTCAGGCTCCCTGCTCTGCGGGGAGCCTGCTTCTCCCTCTCTCTCTGTCCCTCCAACTACTCGTGCTCTCTCACTCTCAAATAAATTAATAATAAAAAAAAAATCTTAAAAAAAAGTGCCCTCAGCTTAACTTGAAGACAGACGATAACCCAAACTTCAAAATGATTTTAAGTAGAAAAATAAAAATCACCAAATCCCAGGTGTCATCTCCACTGCTCCTGCCAACTCCCACCTCCCCATGACACCCACTACAAGGCCTGGTGGTGAGCAAAAGCAAACTGTAAAAATACCGCAGGGCCCAGGAAGGACAGACAAGGGAATGTAGCAAAGGGATTTGACATCTATCTAAAAACATTATCAAAATTATAATCTAAGAAAGCTTGCCAGAAATTGAAAAAGATCTGAGTTTATACACTGAAAGAGCCAATGGGGGTACCTGAGAAAATTAACCCCAAAAAATCGACTCCAAGAAATAACCCAGGAAAGCTATTAAATTTCACACAAAGATAACAAAAATCCTCAAGGCACTCTAAACAAAATGGCCAAATAACATTTTTATGTTATTTCTATGTTTCCCTTTGTAGGGAAAATAATTTAACATAAGTGAGAATTTTCAAATTCCACAGGCAAAGCAAAGCAATAACAGAGTAGTGGCTTTTCTTTAAGTTCAATGAAAGAAATGGTAAACTAAGGATTTTACCTCCAGACATGTTTTCCTTCAAATATCCAGGCTATAGGAAAACAATTTTGAACATAAAAGAACTTAAGGAACTCTTTACCTATGAGACTTTCTTAAAACATCTACTAAAAGAGAAGCACCTGGCTAGCTTAGCCAGTAGAGCATGCAGCTCTTGATCTCGGGGTGGTGAGTTCAAGCCCCACGTTGGGTGCAGAGATTACTTAAAAATAAAATCTTAAAAAACAAAAACAAACCACATCTACTAGAAGATAATTTCATCCAACCAAGAGATGACTGGGAACATTTCAACAAAAGAAGTAACAGCATTCTGAAAAAGAAATGGACATCGAAGACTAAAGAAAGGTGAGGATGAGGGTAGAAACTAATGTGCAAATATTACATGTTTTGTCAAAGTAGCAATAACACAATTTAAAAAGGGAAGAGAACAGAAAGGGAAAAAGGAAAATAAACTGATTTTTGTAAAAGCAATTAGTAGGGATTAAAGAATACCAATAGGAGCGCCTGGGTGGTTCAGTCAATTAAGTGTCTGCCTTCAGCTCAGGTCATGATCCCGGGGTCCTGGGATCGAGCCCCGCATCGGGCTTCCTGCTCAGCGGGGAGTCTTGCTTCTCCCTCTCCCTTTGCCCCTCCCCCCCACTCATGTTTTCTCTCGCTCTCTTGCTCTCTCTCAAATAAAAATCTTTTTTGAAAGAAAGAGAGAGAGAGAGAAAGAAGAAAGAAAGAAAGAAAAACTACCAATAAAACTGATAAACTGGTAAAATATTGGAGGGCACTGATAACATCAAAAAGATAGCTTCAGTGAAATGATGGAGGTAAATTCCCACACAAGTGAATTCGAATTCAAGAGAGAAAAGAAAGAAGTGTAAACAAATACAGACAGCTCTCAAACATGTTGAAGAAAGGGAAATAAATGGGGGTGGTAGCAGGATTTAGTGGGGTCTAAATCCCCCGAAACCAAATGAAACAAAATGGTTTTTATGATGGAAAAATAAAAGCATGTTGTATGCTGATAAATCTAATCGACAGCAAAATTCATGAGGCAGGAAAAATATCCTTCAGTAAGCAAGAGTGTGAGATCTGGTGGACAAACAGACCAGCTGGCCTTAGCGGGCACAAGGACAGTTCATCTGTAAAAACAAGAGAAAAGGTACCGTGTACAGACAGAGATGCAGGGAGGGAGTGGGATCTTATGGAAATAGTCCTCCGATTATTTCTATTTTCTGAGGGAAATGGGATTTCTCAGGGAAATAGGATTCCAAAATGCCTGTGTTCTTTCCACAAAAACATCCTTTACCCAAAAAGCAGCAACAGCAATAACATAAAAATTAGTTTTGTTCATTTTTACATATTTTCTAAAATTCTAATCTTAAAAATACACACAGATAATAATAATGAACACTATAGATCATTTTATGGCTTACCAAAGGCCTTCATATACATTAGCTCGTTTGACTGTGGCAAAAGCCTTACTACACAAGTGTAAGTGATAAACTAAGATTCCAATCCCAGACTTCTGACTCCCAAGTCTGGGTTCTTTCCTTTCTCCCAGTTACTGGATTCAAACCTGCTATCTATTACAGCTTATTGCCCTTATTTGTGGACATAGCTATATCCTCCAATACAGTAAAACCCCTTGAGGGATGCTACCTTCCTATTCCTAATACCCAGAGCAGTGATTCAATGTTGAACAAATGAATAGATAAAACTATCTCACATTAATTTGGAAACCTTGGTCAATGCACATATTGAATCTTGCATAGTCTCTTTGTACAACCTAGCAGCCTTGTGAGAGGCTAGAATGTATGTGTCAGCAGCATTTTTCATCAATATCCACCCCAACATAATAGCAACCTTAAACAAACACCTTCAATGAGGACAATATCTGCCACCTGACAAAAGGAATTAATCCTGTAATTCAAATTACTTCGAGGCAGGGGCAGGCTATGTAGAATGACAGTAAGTTTAGCGGCAAGACACATTTAAGAGCCACTAATGTAATTAAAATACACTTGCAGCATTTGAAGAAATTAATCATACAGCCAAGCATTCAATTTGCAATTTAATGTTTTCCCCCACTTATTCTGTCAGTGCAAAGGCAATTTTCTTCTAAGAGACTGCAATCCCAGAGCTTCAGCTGGAGAAGGAAGGACCATAGCAAATCAGATTCCAATACTTCAGTGAGGAGCAAAGTGAAAGCACAAGAGAATGCAAAGAAGCCAAGGTGAAGAAAGGTGTCATGGTATGTGACCATATTCTGTGACTCTTCCTTTCCCAGACCATTCTGTCACAAACACGCTTGATTATCTGTACTGAAATGGACTTTCACCGTTTGCCTACTTCATCTCTCCTTGTATTCTCCACACTTACCTGTTTTTTTTCTTTTTTTTTTCCCCTCAACCTTTAATTTTGACAAATTTCATAGCTACAGAGAAGCTGAAGTAAATGTACAACAAAACACCAGTATGCCTTTTGCTTGGGTCCACCAATTATTAATGCTTTGCCACACTTGCTTTATCTCTGTGTGTGTATACATATCTTTTAAATTATGGGTTTTGACTGGGGCGCCTGGCTGGTTCGGTCAGAGGAGCGTGCAACTCTTCATCTTGGGGTTATGCGTTCAAGCCCTGTGTTGGGTGTAGAGATTACTTAAATAAAACTTAAAAACTATGTTTTTAACTAAACCATTTAAAAATAAGTTGCAGACATCACACTTAGATTCAAGAGCCGAAACGGTTTCAAACACTTTCCAAGATTTGCCCTGGTAGATCTCACAAAGAAAACTATAAGCTGGGTATGAATTAAATCAGAAAGAGAAACAGGACTAACTTCCTGCAGAAATGAAATAATATGTTTAATATGTATAAGCAACTCCTACCTCTTTATGAATTATGGGATAATCATCATAGATAAATCTGAGGGTACCACTGATCTGTATATAACTTCCTATGGGGGGCGGGGGAAGGTACTCAACAGAGTCTAGAAGATCCGTTCCACCTGTGTTCCCCTATTTTTAGTCCTGGGGTCTTAGGCTCCGTATCTGTGAGGTGTGGCCACTAACACTCAGTCTGGACTCCTCCCTGCATCCTGCAGAAGAGGCAGTACCTAGAATGGGTAGAGGGATAATGCATGGAAGGAAAAGCACAAAGCACAGTCCTCGACTATAAACTCATGCTGAAATACAAACTGTTAGAAGGTCTAGTAGCATATAAACCACTACGTTGAGCTAATTAAAAAAAAAAAAAAACTACTTTGTTGGGTTAAATTCACAATCACGTACTTCAAAACATGCTAAAAGCTAAAGAAAAAAAAATGAATGGAAGTTTACAATAATTGCTTAAGATTTCTTTTTAAAAGTACTTCTTCATTATTTCCTTTTTAACACCAAACCTTTAACCATTCATGGTTTTAGAGGATTATTTTAAAATCAGTGCATTTTAGAACAGAAATAACAGGACAAATACATTCACTACAGGAAAAAAACAACATGACACATTCACTTATGTTGTGTTTCCCTTTAATTTCTTGGTTTCTTCCTCACTTGAAACGTATCTGAGCGTCCACTACATGTAAGGCAATGTGCTAAGCACAGGATGCATAACTGTGATCAAGTGCTTGATTTCCTGCAGTTAACATAAGTAAACAATATGTAGGGTGCCAATATGGCAGAGAAATTAGTATTCATCAATATCTCATTTTTCTTGCCTTTCTGGACACACAGAAAAACTATTTCCCAGGCCTGTTGAAGGTAGGAAGGGTCACGTGATTAGTTAGAACACATGAACTGTGAGCACAGGTAATGTTAGCTCTGGTTTGAAAAGTTCCACCTCTTAAACCCCTCTTCCCCCTCCTATAAACTGAGGTACTGGAACCTCAAGAGGTCACCAAGCTGCGTGGATTCTTTAATCATCACTTGGAACAAACTGTCCAGGGGAGTCATGGCACCAAGAACAGGCTTTGCCACAAATAAGGAATGAACTGTTACATGGTAACCCACAGAAATGTCAGAGGAGTTTTCATCTGTTTATCGGACGGTTTTATTATCACAGCAGAACCTAGCCTGTACGGACTATTACAGCACACCAAGTGCTCTGCTACACAGCAAAGGAATGAACGGCTGGGTGAATCATCCAGGTGAACACAGACCAAAATATTAGCAAGTGTACCATGGTGGTAAAGAACTTGAACGGGGGAAACTGTGCTGAAGCTCGTGCTCCGATTCTGCTACTTACAAGCTCGGCAACCCAGGGAAGTTACTTAACTACTCTGTACTCTCCTCATAGACAGGCTAGTAACGATACCTACCTCAAAAAGTCAGTGAGAATTAAGTGAGCTAATATGCACAGCCACTCAAAACAGTTGCCAGCCCATAAAAAGTGCTGAATAAACATTAATGTCTAAATAAGCAAATGCAAGTAATAGGACTACTGTTAGGTTCCTTCTCTAATATCTGCCAATTCTGTTAATAAAAATGAGACCAAGTTAAACAAAAAAAACACTTTAGATAAATTTGATATTTGAAAGAAGTGCTAAAATTCCACATGAAGTCACTTTCCTCATTTAAGACAAAGTATTTCCTTCTGTCCTGCTGAGACCTACTCGCAAAGCGAAATGGCGTGACTAATACTTACTGCAGTGACCCGGTCTCCACCATTAGTAACCTGCTTATAATAAGGCGATCCCGAAAGAACTCTCCAGGCAGACAGGCCATAGCGAGAAGCTTTTGATATGCCCACTTCAGCAGTTTCACATCCACCAACCAGCAAAAGTCTAAAAAACACAGAGGAATAAAAAGAACTGATAAATTGCAGTCTGAATAAGAGGACATCAAAACAAGGAGAGCAGAAACAGCCACCTTCACAAAGAAAACTAAAGTAGAATTACTATATACTAAACCTAAAAGTTCAACATTTTAGAAGAAACCACCAAAAGAAAAGCAGATGGTTTTTCAATTAGAATTTCACCTTCACTTATACAGAGGAAGGCTTAAACATTCAAGCACCTGAAATCCGGATGGGAATTCTAAGAAGAGTAAAAAGGTTTTAAGGTTGACCACTGAACAGTGAAGAAACTGTATCAACACCAGTAAACTTTAACACACAGGTCTGTCACCACATCCAGGTATACATGTATTCGTTACAGCAGTGGACTGTACGCACTTACAGATGTTAGCAAGGACAGCTGGGAGCGCCCTGGATAGGACAGAACTCTACAGTCTGACTACACTGAAACAAGACTATGTAGTAGATTAGATGTGCATTATGATCGGTTTACTTTACTGTTTGTTCTACTTCATTAGCAATTAGAGGTAAGGTACCAACAGAGCAAACAGTCTAACATATACTAAAAGTTCAAAGCCGTGTGATGCTACACAAACTAAGTTGATTAATAATAAAACCCAGTCATGATTTTTTATTGAGGTATAAATGATACGTAACATTATATTAGTTCAGGTGTATGACATACTAATTCAAAATCTGTATATATTGTGAAATGATCCCCACAATAAGTCTAGTTAATATCCGTCCCATACATAGTTACAAAAAAAAATTTTTTTTTTCTTGTGATGAAAGCTTTTAAGATCTACTCTCTTAGAAATTTTGAAATCCATGGGGCGCCTGGGTGGCTCAGTCGGTTAAGCGACCGCCTTCAGCTCAGGTCATGATCCTGGAGTCCTGGGATCGAGTCCCGCATCGGGCTCCCCGCTCAGCAGGGAGTCTGCTTCTCTCTCTGAGCCCCCCTCTCATGCTCTCTCTCTCTCATTCTCTCAAATAAAATCTTTAAAAAAAAAAAGAAATTTTGAAATACGCAACACAGTATTTTTAACTAGAGTCACCACAAACAGTCGTGATTTTTAAAGTCATGTTCACCAAATCTGGCAGGGAACTATATAATAGATATTATAATCATCTGTCTAAAAAAGAGAAAAGTTTGAAAGTAAAGTTCTGATATATTAAAGGAAGCACTACAATTACCAGTGAATTATTTTTGTTCCCAATGACAATAAGGCAATATAGTAAGAGAAGAGCTAGGCCACGGGTTTCATGGGTCTTGTGCATATAATGTGCCCCTAACGGGAACTATCACTGTCCCAAATGGCGGAAAATAATTATCAAGCTCCTTTTAAAGCAAAACACATAGTATTGTTATCACCATGCTCCCATTTTATCAGAAAGAAGATGCATTCCATCACACAAATCAGTCACCTTTTTCTAGACCATGCTCATGGTAAAATCAAAACTTAAAAAACTTCAGTTTCTGCATAGAAATTGGAAGGTAAAAGAAAACAACACTTCGTAAGGCTCTCTAGTGTTGGCATATCAAAAGGATTTACTTAAAAGTAATCCAAAACAGGTGGGTGGAGGAATAGCTGGGGATATCTATGAAACAAGATTGACCACGAAATGATTGTTGAAACTGAATGACAGGCACAAAGGAGTCAATATACTATCGTCTCTATGAACAGGCTTCAAATATTCCACAAAGAAATTTTTTTTCAAAAGTCAATTTGTTTAAACACACAACTCCGGAAGCACCTGGCTTGGCTCAATTGGTGAAGCATGCATGCAACTCTTGATCTTGGGGTCATGAGTTCAAGCCCCACATTGGGCATAGAGATTACTTAAAAAAAAAAAAAAAGTCCTCTGAATAAATAGAAGAAAACAGGCAATTTTGAATATCTACATTTCTGAATTTAATCTCAATGGTTTTTCAAACAGGAAATATGTGATTCATAAAGCATATCTTTAAAAATCAGTAACCTATAATTATAGTAAAAATAAAAACACTGTTAGAGAATTCAACAAATCCCTAAAAGGCCAGGATAAAGCAGATCCTGATAACTAATTTTCCTCGGCTCAATGTACAACATATATATTTATATTAACAGTATAATTCTTTTCTCAAAGGACTGGACGTTATTTTTTAATCTGCACTACCATGTCAAGGAGGGGACATATCTAATTTTCAGATTAAAAAAGTATATGTAGCTTTTGGCTTTTGGTTTGGCAGAAGTAAATATGCAACTCTCTGCAGTCATCCAGAATCCAGGTTCAGCCCCCCATGCCACCTAAGTTTGATCCCAGTGAGATATACCTGAGGTGCCCCGGTGGCAAAGTCGGAGCCACGTCTGTCCTGACCCCCAAGATCGGCCCCCTGGGTTTGTCTCCAAAGAAGTTGGTGATAACATTGCTAGTTATCAACTAGTAATTAGAAGGTCTAAGGATGACAATGAAACGGACAGTTCAGAACAGACAGGCCCAGACTGAAATGGTACCTTGTGTCTCTGCCCTGATTATCAAAGCCCTCAAGGAACTACCAAGAGACAGAAAGAAGTAGAAAAACAGCCGCACAGCGGAAATATCACTTTTGATGAGACTGTCAACCCTGCCCAACTGATGCGGCACCACTCCTTCGCCAGAGAACTCTCTGGAACCATTAAAGAGGTCTGGAAACTGCCCAATCTGTGGGCTGCAATGTTGATGGTCAGCACCCTCATGACATCCATAGATGACATCAACAGTGGTGCAGTGGAATGTCCCACTAGTTAAGAACTGCAAAGGAAAATATTTCAATAAAGGATTATTTGACCAAAAAATACATACATATATGTATACGTACATACATACATAGGTATAGAACTAAGTTGCCTAACTACTGAAGGAGATACAAAGCTAACCAAAATTTCAGATTTTTTATCCCTTGGTCTTAACACTAGAATACACTGCCTCTCTCTGATTTTTGATAAATATCATAGACAGCCATGCACACATCAAATTGGCTACATGACAAACTCCATCAAGAACAAAAGAGATTCGATATCTGCTTCCAAACAATCTTTCCTCCATTAATGCCCAATTAAGGAGTAAGTGGAAAAAGAGGCAGAATGATGGCACTAATCATGTACTCCTAGATGGTAAAATGATGTAACTTGAATGAAAACAGTCAATGAAAGAGAGGGGAGAGAAGTCCAAGACCCAGCACTGTACACAGAGTAAATGTTCCCTGAATGACTGAATTTAAAACTCCAACTTTCTCCTTAAGTAGCACAGTGAAGGGTGCTAGAGCAACTCTACTTCCCCCGCCTGTCCCCATGCTTGCTAAGTTTCACCAGTAAGTACAAGAAGATGAGGCAGGGAGAAGGGGAAAGGTCATGGCCGCAGGGGTGGGCAGAAATGGGGGAAGGGGGTGATTCACTGATAAAGACCACACTAAACAATGTTAAGCCGATATCTGGTAAACCAAAGTATTAGGGAAAAAATTTCAAAATGTTTGTGAGAGACTAAGAGCCATGAATAAAAAGAGAAAAATACCATGCTCTTTGACAAACTCCCAATACTTTAAAGATGTCAATTCTTCTTAATCTATAAATTGAATGCAATTTCAAATAAAATCCCCAACAGAATTTTTCGTGGAACTGAAACTGATGTGACAGAACTAGACAAATCTAAAATTTACATGGGCAGGTAGCAGGTCTAAGAAAAGCCAACTCCGGGCGCCTGGGTGGCTCAGTTGGTTAAGCGACTGCCTTCGGCTCAGGTCATGATCCTGGAGTCCCTGGATCGAGTCCCGCATCGGGCTCCCTGCTCGGCAGGGAGTCTGCTTCTCCCTCTGACCCTCCCCCATCTCATGCTCTCTGTATCTCATTCTCTCTGTCTCAAATAAATAAAATCTTTAAAAAAAAAAAAGAAAAAGAAAAGAAAAGCCAACTCCATTCACACTGATAATCTTTCCCTTTATGAGTTGTGCTTTGTGCATCTTGACCTGCAAATACTTCCCTACCCTCGTGTCATTAAGACATTCTCCTCCCAATTTCACCATATTAAAATCTAAAATTTCTATCCATACAAAGATAAATCACACACCAGGAGAGTACATGAAAGTAACAGTATTAGCAAACAATTTATATAGATCTTCCACAATCAGCCCAAAAGAAAAACGGACAAAGAATTAAGCAAGTCACAAAAAGAGAAATCCAGAAGTTAATAACGCAGATTAAAACAATATAGATTTAGGGGCATCTGGCTGGCTCAGTCTGTACAGCATGCGACTCTTGATCTTGGCACTGTGAGTTCGAGCCCCATGTTGGGCATAGAGTTTATGTTTAAAAAAAAAAAAAATCAGTAAAACAATACAGAGTATGTTTAAGGACACAGTTTCTCTTAAAAAGTACTGGTGAAATCGCAAATTGGAGCAATCATCTTGGAGAATGATACGACAATACCTAACAAACACATACACCTAACTATTCTAAGGAACTGTTAGAGAAATTCTTGTATGGGTATATTTATCTCTTGGTAAAAGAGTATTTCATGCAGCACTATTTACAATGCAGGAAAATAAGAAGTATTTTAAATGTTTACAAGGGATGGATAAATTCAGTAAGTTGTTCAGGGAAACATGCAATGTAACTACAATAGGTAGATGACAGATAGATGATGATAGCTAGATAGATGATAGGGAAGGTCACAACAAAATCATGACACAAAGCAATGGAAGTAGGAAGTTTTGTTTGTACTCCTGTCTTTTATTCATATATGTGTATGTACACACACCCACACACCTTAAGATTTTAAGAAAATCTTAATATTTGTTAATTCTGAGTAGTAGGTACCCAGGTGTTCATTACATCATTCTCTCTTTAGCTTAAAAAGAGTAACACCAAGATAGAGCACCCCAAATTATGTACATAAATTTTTCCAGTTAATGAAGTCCAGGTGAGAAAATTCAGTAAATTGGCTCTAACACATAACACCAATCCACAAGTCTAG